TAAACAAATGTTAGCTGTGTTACCAGGCACTGAGCTACACTAGGCTTATTGCTGTGAAAGCAGCCTGGTTCCGCCCTCACGGAGCTTGGATTGGGATAGGAGGTAGATGCGTAACCAGACAGTTCATGCAGTGAATGAAGGCTGTGACAGTACCCAGCAGGGGCACTTGACCTGGGGATCTGGGAGGGCTGCCCCCACGGAGGTCAAGCGAATGGCCAGGGGTAGGTCAGCAGATGGATGAGTGTGAACTCAAGTAAAAGCCTAACAAGTTGCCTTGTTCTCCAGGGTAGAAGTTCTTTGCAGTCAGGGTAAACTCAGCCTTTTCAGAGGCCAACCTCTAGGAGGTGGTGCTAGCCCCCAAATCAGCGCTTGGCTTTCCCCTTTCTCCTTAGCCCAGCCCTGTCTTACCACCCACCCACGCTGGGCCCTCAGCTCCAGGGCACTTAGGCTTTCCCTATGCTTTTCCTTCCTCTCTGGCATGGCAGAGGTTTCTGCCAAAGCCTCCCTCGGTACCAGTGGTAAATTCTTCTTTTCTCTTTCCTGGGGAAACCTAGCCTAGAGCCCAGCCTGTGTCTCTGGATGGCAGCGTGCAAAAGAAGAGCCAGGTTTGGGAGGGGGCTCGTTTGTAATCTGAATCAGTGAATTGAAGCAGTTGATCCCCCAAGAATTTTTTTTCCACGCACTCTGATTCTTTTCATGTTGAGATTTTTTGAGGTTTCATCTCTCTTTAACGATGAGGATGGGGATTGCTTGGAATTATTAAGCTTCCTTTGTGCATCTGAATTGTAATATTTAGCATTTACAGTAGACCTGTGAACAACATGGGTTTGAACTGCACAGGTCCACTTATACGTGGACTGTTTTTTCTCAAAAAATACCTGTACTGCTTGAATCCACAGATGCAAAGGGCCAGCTGTATGCATTGATCCATGCCATTTTATACAGGGGCTTGAGCAACCGTGGATTTTTTCTGCAGGGGTCCTGGATCCAATCCCGGTGGATTCCTGAGTGATGACTAAGTTTCTGGGGGATCCAGAAGTTTTATGCGGATTTTCTACTCTATGGGGATCAGTGCCCCTACCCCTCTGTTGTTCAAGGGCTCAACTGTATTTAGCATTAACTGTGTCACAGCGGCCCTATGAGATCATTAAGATTTCAGTTTTACAGATGAAAGTGAAGTTCAAAGGGGCAGAATATAAGGGGAAACCAACTCAAGTGCATTAGATAACAAAGCCTGTGTGCTTAAGGATGGGCTGTCCTGCTTTCATAGTCGGTGTTTGAATGAAGGGGTGTCACACATTTGAAAGTTGAGGCACAGAGAGACAGAATCTCAGGTTAGACAGTGGTCAGCCGCCCCATGTTACCGGGGAGCTGCCCTCCCTGCTCCTACCACCCCACTCGTGAATCCCTTTCTGCCCAGCTACCCCTCCACACCCAACCCCATGTTTCCTGCCATCCTGCATTAGCTGCAGTGGCTTAGCTCTCCTGTTCCCACCACTCTCAATAATCTTAAGTAAAAATAGTGAGTTGGCCGTGCAGACAAAGGATCACGGAAGGTCTCCTGGTGCGACACACACACACACACGCGCGCGCCTCTGGTGTGCTGCATGTAATACAAAATGCATGTGGGGTAATTTAGGACTCCCCCCTTGACCCTCTGGAACTAGAGTCAGCACTGGCTCCTGGCTCACTGTGGTCCGGTGGGACAGAAAGTGGCTTTTCTCCTTTTCTGAATACCCATTAGCCCGACTTGAGGAAGACACTCTGAGGGCCTCTGTCTGCCACCCTGCTGCCCACATAGGATGGGGACCCCAGGTAGGGCCTGCCTCACCCCGCTTCTCCCTCCCTCCCTCTCTACCTGAGAACTTCTCCCTGCTTTCAGTCACTGCTTACCAGGAAACACCAGGGAAGTGCACCAGGAAGGTTTTGGACCCATTCTCCCACCAGTGGACACGGGATTTCTGGGGAGCTGGAGGAGCACTGGACACAGGGAGATGAGACTTCCAGCTACTGTCCTGGCTTTTCCTGGGGGCTTCCTATTTGGGGGCCTCAGTTCCCTGTCTGCAAATAGGACATTAGAACCGTGGTCCTTTTTGCTGATCTAACATTTTATAACTGTTTTCGTAGGCAGGTACAACAGGGTGGTGACTTTAGTATTTGCTGAGCTGGATTTGGGTCGGGCAGCTGGAACAAGTTTCAGAGGTCGGAGGAAGGGGGCTTGTCCCCTGATTTGGCTAGGATGGTTTTGGGCACTGGCACTTGCGCGAAGCATTGGTTTTCATTGGGATCCTTTTCAGATGCCAAGCCCTGTATGTTGTGGAGACGGGGGTCGGTGGGGTGCCTGGTAAAGGTGGGTGGCTGGGAAGGGACCCACAAAGGGGTGTGTAATTAAGTCAGAAACCCTAGTTTTTTCCCCAGCCTCCCACAGAGCCTAATAGCTCATCTGAGCCTGCCTGGGTTTCCAGGATTTTAACGGATCTAGGGATATTGCTTAAAGGCAGAAGTAGTTCTGTCTCCCTGGTGGACTTTTTTTTGTCAGAGGCACTTTGTTCTTCCTTGGGGCAGGGGCAGCCTGAGGCCCTAGCTGTGAGCAGAGCAAAAGCAGGGCGGGGGTCTTCTATTGGCAGGAGGGCTCTCCCTTGAATTGAAGACTGAACTTTCGGTACTTGACCCCATGTCTCCTTGTGATCTCGGTGAATAAATGTCAGGCTGGGTGATCATAGGAGCTGACTCTTCCCAATTTTGAAGTTTTTATTAGACGCAACAGACAGTGACCTGAAAAACTTTGCTTTACCTTTTCAAGGACAGTCTCTAGGAATACTTCCCCTACTGAACCTGATTCCCCTTTCCAGCTTCTTGTTAATGAACTTGGTGTTGCAGGCCCTTTGGCTTGTGCTCCTCCTGGTAGCATGAAGGGAGCATTGGGGGCTGGATGAGTCTAGGACAGGGGTTCGCAAACTTTTGAGACAGAAGAGCCGCCAGAGATCAGCAAACTGCGACTCACGAGCGTGTGTCTCTTGAAGTAAAATTGAAAATGAAAATAAAACTATCATAGTTTCATTTATAAAATTTTTAAAGGATATATTCACATAATGGTGATTATGTAAAAATATATTTATGGCTCTCGAATAATTTTTAAATTGTTGTGAGGGACGGGATTGCTGTTCCAGGGGTCGGCAAACTTTTGAGACGGAACGTACCCAAAGAGCCTTACGTGGCTCGCGAGCCGCAGTTTGCCGACCCCTGGTCTAGGATAAGTGATTACTGCCATAGCTCAGGTATAATCGAGGGAGATGATCCTGTGATGGCTGGGGTCCTGGTTCGAAGCAGCCTAATCAGAGCACTGGGTGTATTAGGCTGCTCTGGGCCAACCCAAGATTAGCAGGGAAGTCAGTGTAGGGCAAGTAGCTTCAGGGGCCTACGGCTCCATCCTCTTGGGACTAAGAGAGACTTTCTGGTTCTCCACCGCCTAGCACTGGGCATGAGGAGTGCTGTGGGCTAGATTCCACAGCTTCCCCTCTCAGAGGCGCGTGGGGTATCTTGAGAGGGGGCATGAAGCAAAAGCCAAGAATGTAGTGGCTTCACCGTTAGGAGTCAGGCAAGGACTCTCTACTCATTAAGGGAACACGGGTCTGATCAAGGAGTAGAACATTCCTTTTTGAGACCAGCCCTTCAAATTTCTCTGCTCGGAGTCTGCGGGCAGCTCTTGCCCTGGCTTGGCTGGCCAACAGTGGAGACAAAGTGATAGAGAAGTAAGTGAGCAGAGCCCCAGAGTGTATCTTTTCCCATGGGTCTCTTGGAGACCATGGTCTTCAGAACTGTTGAGAAAACAAGTGTAGATGTAGAAGGGACCAGACCTGTTAGAGCCCCTTTTTAAACACACACGTGCACACACGCGCGCGTGCGCGCGCGCACACACACACACATTGTTTTTAAAAGCTCATGTCTGTCTTTTTTGAAACTGCTGGAGAATTCCAAACAAAATTAAATCACTAAAACACACTACTTAACTCTTGATAATACTTAGTTTTATGTCTGTCCAGAGTTTCTACTATGTATATGTGCATATACACATTTTTATTTGTTTTACAAAAATAGGATTGTAACTTTTCTTGTTTATTGTGTTTATCTTTTCATATCAGTAGAGATCATCTTTTTAATGACTTTTTTTTTTTAACTTTGTTAAAAATTGTAACGATTATTAAACTTTATTTAGCCAGTTTTCTACTGTTGGACATGTATGTTGTTTTCAATGTTTTGAAGTTACAAATAGCACTTTGTGGACATCTTTGTACATAACTCTAAACACTTTTTTTGTGTCTAATTTGTGTCATTAGGATAAATTCCCAAAGGTGGAACCATTGAGTCAAATGGGACCTTGCCTTTTCTTTGGAAACTTGGAAGGCAAAATCTTTCCCGAGTGGCTAACTCTGCTGTTGACCCCAGGTCATTCAGGACAGAGCTGGCCCTGCTGTGTGAGGATTTAGAAGAGGTCTCTAGACTTCTTTATTGCTCAGTTAGGGTCTTTATCTTGCCTTCCCCATGATAGCTAGCCCAGGTCTGCTCACACACAGACTTCTAGACTATTAGAGCCAGAGAGGCTCTTTTAGACCTTTATGGAATCTGCTATGACTCGGGAGCCATCGATTACAGAACTGACTCTGGCATGGACTCAGTCTGCCAGAGACTTACCTTCTCCAGCCTGTATGCCCTTTTCAGAAGAGGGGATAGGCTCTGAGAGCTCTCCCACATCAGAGTCAAGTTCCTGGAGTTTTGGCTGCCGATTGTTTTCATGAGCTCGTTTTCCATGATTTCTTCAGAAAGAGGCTGGTAAAATTGTTATTGGTGTTTGAGCATGTGTCCTTTAACTCTCCACCTTGTCATCCTCCCTTGGGAGCCTGCAGGATGCTTACTGGAGGGGGAATGGTGATAAGGGTGAGAAGCTGGTGGTGGCCCCCTCCCACGGACTCTGCATAACCCTCTCTCCCTTGTTCCCACAGAACACTCTGCTCCGGCCAAGGTGGTGAGAGCAGCAGTTCCTAAACAGCGCAAAGGCAGCAAGGTAAGGAATAGGAGTGGGCAATCCAAGGGGACTTCCTGGAGGTGGTGGCCTCTTTCCTGTTCTAGTGAGTGCTTCTGAGCTGTCAGGTAGTGCTGGATCCTTTCTGAATAGCAGGGGAACCCCTTCTGGGCCTCCATTGTGGATGGTCCTAGTGGACAGACTGATTTTGTCCTCTGATCTCTTGGTGGAGCTGTATTTTGGGTGAATGGCAGAGGTAGGGTCACCCCGGGGCCCTTATAGAATGTGCCTTGCAGGTTGGTGACTTTGGAGATGCAATCAACTGGCCCACACCTGGAGAGATAGCCCACAAGAGTGTGCAGGTGAGTCGGGGAGGAGGAATGGGCAGGACTGAACTCTGTCTACATGTGTGCATTTGGCTTCTCAAGCCTTCAAAGCCTCAGGTCTTACTCTAAGAAGTGTGGTTGGTACAATCTGGGCAGCATTGAAATAGCTAAGAATCACCATTTGAGCCCTTAACTGTGTATCAAGGACTGCCAAGTACTGTCTATTCATCATTTCCTCTAACCCTCACAGTGACTCCAAGGTAGGTCCTTTCATTCCCATTTCACAGATGAGGCCACTGAGGCTGGGAGAAGTTAATTACCAGCCCTTGATAGCCAAGTGAGGATTGGAAGTCAGGTGTGTTGCGCTTGCCAGAGCCAGTGTTTTTGGTCACTACACTTGAATTGCCAGTGAGTGAAGCAGGAGAGTGCTCATTGGCCAGGTCCCCACCTCTAGATCGCGTATCTTGGGGAAGGTTTTGTAGCTCTCCTTAGTCCCAGCAGAGGAGGGGCTCCTGGTCAGTCTTCTCCTTCCCAGTACTTTTGTTCTGGGCTAACAGTCTAGGTCTCTCCCTGGCTGTGGCCACTGGCCTTCAGTTTGCAGATGGGGTTAGTGTGGGCAGCCGAGGTCCAGCATCTCCTCCGTCCTACAGACTACCTGGATGTGGCCCCTGCGCGCCCCACCCCCTCTGTCTTGGGGCTGTCTCTTTCACTTAGACTTGAGGAAGCTGGAGAGACAGGTTGTCTCCTACCTCCTGCTGTTTGACCACGCTTCCCATTGGAACATCTCAGGCGTGAAGACAGGACCTTAGAGTATATGAGGCCCAACCTGCCATCGCATGCCCCAGCTCCTTCTGCCCTGCCTTTTAGTGACAGGGAGTTCCCTTCCGTCCCGTCCCGAGCGGCGCTCAGACTCACCACACCTCACTGTCACTTTACTTCCCACTGCAGCCACAGTCCCACAAGTCTCAACCTGCCCGTAAGCTGCCGCCCAAAAAGGACATGAAGGAGCAGGAGAAAGGAGAGGGGAGCGATAGTAAGGAGAGCCCCAAAACCAAGTCGGACGAATCGGGGGAGGAGAAGAATGGGGACGAGGACTGCCAGCGAGGGGGGCAGAAGAAGAAAGGTGAGTGACGGGGAGGACATGGCAAGGCGGGACTGAAGTGGCAGCGCAGGGGCTCTGGAGAAATTGCAGGAGGCTGGTTCTTGCAGTAGGCCTCTGGGTCAGATAGGTCCATCAGTGTTTTTCTCTTATTAAACCAGCATGGGTAAGCCCTGTTCTGAGCATAGGGCTCCAGCAATGCACAAGACAGGTGAGGTCCCCACCTCGGGTGTCTTGATGTATTGCTATCCCATGAAGATTTCATTTAAAGACAAGAGTTCCCGTTGCTCTGGCTGAAACAGTTAGGGTACAGTTCAGCTGCTCTAATAGAGACAGAAAGTAACAGTGGTTTCAACAAGATGAAAGTTTATTTCCCCCACCTGCCAGCTCAGTGTAAGTAAGCCAGGCCCAGAATGGCAACCCTTTGATTCCTCTCATCTTGCTGTCGTGCGTTGGCTCTTCTCATCCAGGATGACTTGCTTTGGCGTCTCATTTCAGCTAGCAGGAAGGGCAGAGGTGGGGAGAGTGGCTCCCTGCCTTTTAGGGACTCGGTCTGGAATTGACCACTTTCACTCAGCTCTCATAGCCAGCACTTGGGCATGAGACTCACAGGGGCCTGGAGAGTGCAGCCTGGGTTCTGGGCAGCCACATGGGAGGCTCCTGAGCGGGTTCTCTGACCATGGAGAAATCGGTGTTGAGTCAAACTAGGAGCATCCGTCACACTGAGGTCAATGACCTCCTTATTTTAGAGATGAAAATGAGGTCCAGCGAGGGAAAGGAATTTACCCAAGGTCACCAGATTGTGATTTAGGCCTGAGGGTAGGGATGGCTGGGAGGGACCGCTCCTTCAGGCCTTTCTCATGTGCTCATGCTGCCCTCCAGGGAACAAACACAAGTGGGTCCCCTTGCAAATAGACATGAAGCCTGAAGTATCCAGAGAGAAACTGGTCTCGCGCCCTGCTCGTCCACCAGAGCCACGACACGCACCTCCCAACCGCGGGGAGATCAAAGGTAAGTCTGCCTTAGAGGGCCTGGGCAATGGGGGTCACTCTCAGACCTGACTCAGTGCCCCCTCTTCCCATAGGGTCTGAGCCTGCCACCTACGTGCCTGTGCCTGTGGCCCCCCCCACCCCAGCCTGGCAACCAGAGACCAAACAGGAACCTACCTGGCACGATCAGGATGAGACATCGAGTGTGAAGAGTGATGGGGCTGGTGGGGCACGGGCTTCCTTCCGCGGCCGTGGACGGGGGCGTGGTCGCGGCCGGGGACGCGGCCGGGGTGGCACTCGAAGTACGTGAGGAGGCCCCTTTGGGCTCCGGGATGTCCAAGGGAGTGCGGCGGGGTGGCGGGCAGGGATCACCTCTCCCTCATGGCACCCATTTTCCCTGTAGCTCACTTTGACTACCAGTTTGGCTACCGAAAGTTTGATGGTGCAGAGGGTCCTCGAACCCCCAAGTACATGAACAACATCACCTACTACTTTGACAATGTCAGCAGCACTGAGCTTTACAGCGTGGACCAGGAGCTGCTCAAAGACTACATCAAGCGCCAGATGTGAGTGCGTGGGAGCCTTCTTGGAGAGATGGGTAGTGGGCTGGGAGCTGCCAGAGTTGGGCAGCTGGGCAGAGTAGGGCAGACAGGCCCTTCTGGTGCTGGCAGCAGCTGCTGCCCTGGCTGGAGCTGAGAAAAATAACTTGCTCTCACCTTTTAAGCTAATTTTTCATAAACTATTGTTTATTACAGAAGTAATACCATATTTACCTTAAAATTATAAATTACCACCAACAAGATGGAGAGAAAGTATCTAGACTTTGCCCCCTTGTGTGCTCCTGTTTGTGATGGCTGCATTGTCAGGATGCTAGCAAACATTGAGTCCTCACTGTTGGTGAGGCTCAGTACTACGTACTTGATAGGCGTTCTCTTTTTTAATCCCGCAGTTTTCAGCTTAATTCCTCTGAGCTGGGTCTTATCCCCATTTTATAGATGAGCAAACAGACCCAGTAACTTGCCTAACTAGTAAGTGACAAGGCACATAAGTTGAATTTATTTGTCTGATTGCAGCCCTTTGGCTCCTAACCATGCCAATGTATTGTCTCTTAGTGCAGTGGGGGAGCCATACAAGGAAATAGATCATGGCAGCAGAGTGTGATAAATGTTTTAGGAGCAGAAAAGGAAGTGAGGTGTTTGTCAGGCATGCAGAGGTGCTGACGGGCAGAGGGAATGGTTTGCCCCCAAGGTTAGGGAGCCATGAGGGGATAGATACCATCAGTTCTTTCAGCCCTTAAAACTGTTTGTGTGTGCAGTAGGGGTGGGGTGGGGTAAGAGGCTGTGTGAGGTTGCTGGGGTATACAGTAGAACAGGGAAGGCATATTGGTAAGTGATGCAGCAGTTACACCTGTTCTCCTCTCCACCTAGTGAATACTACTTCAGCGTAGACAATTTAGAGCGAGACTTCTTCCTGCGACGGAAAATGGATGCCGACGGTTTCCTTCCCATCACTCTTATTGCTTCCTTCCACCGAGTGCAGGCCCTTACCACTGACATTTCACTCATCTTTGCGGTATGTCTCCCTCCCTGGGGCTGGGTTGCAGGGGGAAGAAACTGTCCTTACTTGTGGAGCTGGAGTTGGAGCCAAGGCAGGAAAGCTTGGAAGAGCCCCTGTCTGATTACTTCTGCTCAAGTTCCAAGGCTTGGCCAGCCTTGCTCCCTCCCTTCACCTCTCCCCCCACCCCACCACCCCACCCCCGCCTTTTATTATGGAAAATCTCAGACAATGACAAAAGTAGACTAGTATAATGAACCTGTCACCCATCCTCAAACAATTTTCAGCTCAGCCAGTCTGATTCCATCTACCCCCTCATCTATTTGCTCCCCCAGGTTACTTTGAAGAAAATATCAGGTAACGTGACATTTCATTCATGTTTCAGCACTGATCTCTAAAAAAGACCTATGAAAAAAACATAATCACAATATCATTATCACATGTAAAAATATTAATAATTGCTTAAGATCACCAAATATTCAATCAGTCAGAAATTTGTTTCAGTCATTTGAGAATCAGAATCCAAATAAGACGCATGTGTTGTCCTAAGTTCCCCCTCCCCTCCTTGTATTTTATTATTTGAATAAACTCGGTTGTATATCTCGTAGGACACAGTGGTATCATTTAACACGTCCTGTACTCCCAATTTTTTGTAAAATGGTGATTTAGAGGCCTGATCAGATCCAGGTTTTGGATTTCCCTCTATTGTGAGGAAATCGTATTTATGGTATTTGGATACCACACACGTGAGTTACAAGAGTGTTCATTGCTACTTGATTGGTCATTGTTTCTAGAGCTTTTTCATTGTTGTTAATAAATATGAGATTATACTGATGTTTTCTATTAAAATTCAGGACTATAAGGTCTTTCCTTTAACCCCAAGGATCTTTTACATATAACTACTCCTTTCTCCCATGCCAAAAGTCCTAATTCCTAAAGATATCAATATAATTACTCATATATTTTACTCTACCGTTTAAACACTTTATTCTATTCTTATCTCTATTACTAAAAACAAGCATTGCGTTTGTTGGGTGTTTTTTTTTCCTTCAGTCACTTAACTATTTTAAAGTTATTTGAAATAATCTTTAGGTAGTTATATCTTTAACTGGATATATGATAGTTACATTAGTTTTGCTCTCAAGTTTTAGGGATTTTTTTCCCCCTACTTTCTAGTTTATTTTACATTTATGTAAAACATCTACATGGTTCAAGTCAAGATAGTATATTCATAGAAATCCAACTTAAAATTCCCTCATTTCGACCTTTTTCCTTTCCCCCCCATCGATAACCTTTTTTGAATTCTTCCATTAAAAAATAAGCACATGGCTCTACATATTTGTCTCCTTCCTCTTATCTTCACCTACTTTGTGTTTTTACTTAATATATCTGGGAGTACAGTAGTGTATAATAGAAAGATATTCTTCATTCCTATTTACAGTTGCATATATAGCTTTTCATATTTTTGCCAGTATATCTTTGGTGTAAATTTCTAGAAGAGGGATGTCTGAACTAAAGGGAAAATGCCAATGTAATTTTGCTAGCTGTTGCCTGATTCTCTTTCTATGGGTTGTGCCTTTTGATTCTCACCAGAAGTACTGTATATGCAAGTGCTTTCCTCAGCCTCAGCCCCAGAGGATGTTGCGATGTGCTGAAATGTTTTCCTCTTCCATTTAAAAGACTTTTAGAAGAAAACTTTCTTCCCTTCTCTACTCTTCACCCTTTTTCCTAGAGACAAACACCTATGACAGTTTACCTATGAATTCTAGAAAAATTTGTATTTGAATGTTTTTACTTAAAAATTCAAACACCAAATGGGATCTTAACACTCATGGACCTAGACCTGTTTTTTTTGTGTTTTGTTTTGTTTTGTGGCCCTTTCCGCCTCAGCACATGTGAAGCTGTGTTTTAATTTTTGAGTGGTATTCCATTGCATGGATGTGCCATAATTTATTTAAATTGCATATGTGTTGGCAAGTTAGGACGTTTCCGGAGCTTTTTGTATTACAGACAATGTTGTTACGAATAGCCTTTTATGCAGATCTTATACATATTATCACCTGTTTGTGAATTATTTCTCTGGGGCGGATTACTGGATGTAGAATGGCAAGGTCAAAGGGCAGGCGTGTTTTTCATGTCTGTGCCTCCCACAAGTTTGAACGTCTCACTTGTTCACCAGTCGTGGAAGATGGTGCCAGTGTTCTGATACCCCTTCCAGCCCTGGACTCATACCTGAGCTTGTGGGAGCCCAGTCATCGACTAGCTTCTAAAGCTCAGTCTGTGCAAGCCTTCCCTCTAAATCCTCTCTCCCTCCTCCTCCCCTGCAGGCCCTAAAAGACAGCAAAGTGGTGGAGATTGTTGATGAGAAAGTCCGCAGGAGGGAGGAACCAGAGAAATGGCCTCTTCCTGGTCCCCCGATAGTGGATTATACCCAGACTGATTTCTCCCAGCTTCTCAACTGCCCCGAGTTTGTGCCCCGCCAGCACTACCAGAAGGAGACAGGTAAGTTCCCTGCCGGCATATGGGTGCCCTCCCCGTGCCTTTGTTCCCTGGCCAGTAGTCCTCCTCGGGGCTGGCATCAGGAGGCGGATGGAGGGATGAGGATGTCGCCTTTCCACCCTTCAGAGTCGGCGCCTGGCTCTCCTCGTGCAGTCACCCCAGTGCCAACCAAAACAGAGGAGGTCAGCAACCTGAAGACACTGCCCAAGGGCCTGTCTGCCAGCCTGCCTGACCTGGATTCTGAGAACTGGATTGAAGTGAAGAAGAGGCCTCGGCCTTCCCCAGCACGACCCAAGGTGGGTGAGGCCCGTCCCTCGCCCTGGGTTCTAGGGCCCCAGGCTGGAATGCCTGGAGGGCGTATTACCTAGACAGAGCGCTGGGCTCTGAGGGTCTAGCGGGCAAGCCAGTGGCTCGGGGCCGTAATGCGAGCTAAAGTCATCAGTGACTGCAGGAGGGTTGGTGTGGCCTGTTTTTATTGTCAGTGGTGACCATAAAAACCCCTTAGGACAGCCCTAGCTGCATGAGTTCCTGAGTGGCATTTTTCACAGGAGGAGATCACGCAGCCTCTGGCAGCAGTGTCCCAAGTTTCTTGATGCTTGGCTGTTCCTTTTGCCTCATCTAATCCCTAGGGCTGCATTTTAAGTGCCACTCCTCTGAGTTTGTCCTCACTGCACCTGTATAAACCCCTCAAGTTCTCAGAAGAGGGAAGGGAGGGGCAACTGATGCACAGCCTGGATATAGAGTTAGAGTCTATATGCTAGAACACTGATGGCTGGAGACCTCGGGACGCTGTTGAGTATCTCAGGGCCTCGGTTTCCCCATCTTCAGATGGAAGGAAGGAGGAGTCAGACTGCTATAGAAATAGTAAAGAACTATACAAATCGTACCAATTGAGTCCACTGTTAGAAAAGTGTTTCACTCTTGAGATTACTGCCCCCTTTTTCAGGAGCACACTTTTGCTCCATTTATCTCCCCACTCCCCTTGCCCTTTTTGGTCTGGGGCTTGTGAGGAGGCCTCAGAGATGCCCTTGGACGTTGGGCCTGTGGAATTCTCTTATCCCTTTTCCATTGTACCACGGCGACCACCTCCCTCATCTCGGTCTCTTTCGTCTCCCTGCTTTGACCCCTGCTTCCCCATCTGTTTGGCTGCGGTCCTCTAAGAAGTGCTGGCGATCAGGCCAGAGTCAGGAGGGACAAGTAGTGAGTGGACAAGAGCCTTATAAGAGCCAGGCTTAGCCCCCACTCCCATCAGCCCATCTGGTACCTTAAAAGAGAGTAGGTTTGGAGTTCATATGGAAAGCTCTAGTACATTAGAGAATTGACAAATGCTTCTTCTCAAAGTCTCAAATTAATTCAGCCTATCAACACTCTCTAAAAGTTTTTCTTTGTGCGAAAGTCCCGTGTTTCTCTTGCCTTTGGAACATAATATTGTATCTGTTTAGCACACCCTTTGTCCCTCTCTTTATCTGCCTTATGCTCATTTTTTAGTGATCACTTCTTCCAAGAAGTCTTCCCGGACTGTCCTTATTCCTGCCTCCATTGGTTTAGTGCCCCTCTCCCTATGTACTCTCACAGGTCCTATTGATAGTCTTTACCATACCACCTTGCACTTGGCTGGCTGGTTGGTTGACTTTCTCCCACTGAACAGCTTGTTAGGTTGAAGGACTTTGTCTTGTTCATTATTCCGTTGTTAGGTTCTTCATACAGCGCCTGGTACCAGTGAGTACTTGCTCATTCATTAAATAGTTAAACATTTGCCATCGTTGGGTCCCAATCTAGGTACTGTGGCTATGATAGAAAGCAAGGCAGCTGTGGTCCTTGCCTCATGAAGCTTTATTTAGAAATGTTGGGGGCCGGTCGAGTGGCTCAGTTGGTTAAGAGCTCGCTCAAGAGTTTGAGCTCTGAGCAACAGCGGTTCGAGTCCAGCCCGAGCTGAGCAGCCGCTGAGCTGCCAACAGGTAGCAGGATGGCTCAGCTAAAAAAAAAAAAAAAAGAAAAGAAAAAAAAGAAATGTTGGATAGCTGGATACATAGATGATTCAACCTGTTGAACCACTGTGTGCCCAGGCTAGGTGCTGTGTAGGACGTAAACGTAAATGAGAGCACAGTTCTACCTGTAGGGAACTTGTCATCTCATTGTTTGTGAATGACTCTCATGTGAGCTGTGTGTAGAGAAACATGGAATCCTATGGACCATCCTTTGTCCATGAAGCTGCTTCCGGGGCTGACACATGTGACTTTCTGGCATGACCAGGGCCACCTTTGTGACAATCTCATGTTGAGGGGCTGAGGCCTCTGTATCGTGGGACAGCTATGGAACCTGGTGTAGGACACCCTGGTGATTCTCTCTCCCCTTCGTCTGTCCCGTTTTAGAAGTCAGAGGAGCCCAGGTTCCTCCACCAGACTGCTTTGCCTCAGCAGCTGCCCTCTCAGCAGCTGATGTCCAAGGATCAGGATGAGCAAGAGGAACTGGATTTCCTGTTTGACGAGGAGATGGAGCAGATGGATGGACGGAAAAACACCTTCACCGCTTGGTCTGATGAGGACTCTGACTATGAGATTGACGACCGGGATGTCAACAAGATCCTCATTGTTACTCAGACGCCACCTTACATGCGACGGCACCCAGGGGGGGACCGCACAGGCAACCACACCTCGCGTGCCAAGATGAGTGCCGAGCTGGCCAAGGTCATTAACGATGGGCTCTTCTACTATGAGCAGGACCTGTGGACTGCGAAGTTTGAACCTGAGTATTCCCAGATTAAGGTGAGGTTCAGACACAGCAGTGAGGATGGGACCTGGGGTGCCTATAACATGTGGGGAAGAGGAAGGCCGATTAGCTGTGTGACCTTGGGTGCAGAGCCTCAGTGTCCTCTGTGTGAAAAGGGGGTGAGAAGAGTTGTGTGAACACTTTGTAAACTCGGCCAGTGTGCACGGTGGTTACCGTGCAACCAGAGCATCCATATTTAATGTCATAACACTTCTGTAGGGCTAGAATAAGGATTTCTATTCTTAAATATATAGGCATATATGACAGTTGAAAAGCCTTTTAAGAAACTTGCTTTGAGTATGGAAGATGGAGAAAAGATAGGTCTTTTTAAAAATCACTGATGCTAGGAAACAGTCAATCCTCTGTTAATAGGTTTTCACAGAGTGGATGTACATGGTGGTGGGTGGGCCTTTGGCAAGCATATGTAGTCAGTAGTGTGTTTGTTGGTGGTGAGGAAAGGGGCAGGAAGTGATTCAGGGGGAGTCTGCAGTGAGTTTCCTGGGGAGCTGGAGTCCTGATCTCAGTCTTGTTGCGGAGAGCGCTGGACACGTACTAACCCCTTCTGTGTCAGCACGCTTGTGCCCGGTAACTGGGGTTGAGGAATGGTGATGGGGCAGCTGAGAGCCTGGGGACCAGAATTCCATGTATGTGGACGTGGGAGCTGCCCTCTCCAACTTCCTGCACGTCTTGATTCCTAAACAGGCTAGGGCAGTCTTGTGACATCTTTCTCCACCCATGTTGTATCCTCTGCAGCAAGAAGTCGAGAACTTCAAGAAAGTCAACATGATCAGCCGCGAGCAGTTTGACACACTAACCCCTGAGCCCCCAGTGGATCCCAACCAGGAGGTCCCTCCTGGACCACCCCGATTCCAACAAGGTGAGGGGCGACACTGGGGAACCTGGCCTGGGTGGGAGGGGGCCTTCCAAGGATAGACAATCATGGGCCTCCCCCTTCTTGCGATCCCTCTCTGCCTCTCTAGTTCCCACTGACGCCCTGGCCAACAAGTTGTTTGGTGCTCCTGAGCCCTCTACTATCGCCCGCTCTCTACCAACCACTGTCCCAGAGTCGCCAAACTACCGCAATGCCAGGACCCCCCGCACTCCCCGGACACCGCAGCTCAAAGACTCAAGCCAGACATCACGGTTTTACCCAGTGGTGAAGGAAGGACGGACACTAGATGCCAAGGTGAGGCCCTCCTGCCGGGCTGGTAGGAGCCTCTGGCCCACTTCACTGCAGACCAGTGCTGTGCCTCTCTCTTGTCTAAGCCAAGAAGGTGCCAGGTGCCCCACCTGCCCTGTGTTCTTAGGCTGGTGGAGCCCACTTGAGATTGAGATTGAGTGACTACATGTACGAAATGGACTGGGTGAAGGAGTGATGGCCCCATATCGCCATGAGGCCTAAGGAGGACTTACCGGGTGTAGGTCGTTGGGCAAATCCTTTGCTCCCAAGCCTCAATTTCTTCATCTCTGAAGTGGGCATATTGGGTCCTGGCTTACAGCTGTGGACATTGTAAGAGAATAGATATGAGAATAATTTGTAAAATGACACATGTGAGGGAATCTAATCCCTACAAAATGCTTGATGCTCCTCACATTGTATGACTACAATAAAGAACAAATCCTGGACTGACTTTTACAGATGCCTCGGAAAAGGAAAACAAGACACAGCTCCAACCCCCCCTTGGAGAGTCATGTGGGCTGGGTGATGGATTCCCGAGAACACAGGCCCCGGACTGCTTCCATCAGGTGAGGGGCTGTGGGGAGGAGAGATCAGGTTGGCTCTGGGGTGGGTGGGAGAGCCATGAACTCAATGGGACCAAGAAGAAAGAACCTCTGGTAAGAAAATTAAAGAAAGGGACATTCATCTAAATCTAAAAAAATAGGAGTAGCCTAGAAAGCTTAATCCAGGCCCTGGGAAGAGGAAGGCTTCTTTCTAAATCAGTAGTGTCACAGCTGAATGGGTCCAGATTCTCAGAAAGAGAACACCCATGAATTGATTTTAAATAAAGATATTTGCTGCCTACCTCAATATAGCCAGATAGTTGAATAAAAATACAAATTCCTGGGCTCCACTCTAGATCTACGAACTCAGCTTCTGGGGAGTAGGGCCCAGATTCCTTTTTATTGGGTTGTCGGAAAAGTCATTGACACATTTTTGCTACAAAAAAACAGAAAAAATACGTCATGACTTTTTCGACAACACAATATTTATTTTCAATAAAATAGCCCCAGTGTTCACTGTTCCAAAGCAAGGTTTGGGTGCCACTGAGCTGTGTATTCTCCCTGCAAAGGTGATACAGACTGAAAATAGGCATGATTTTAAGAAAAATATAGAGAGATTAACCCATAATAGCTCATTCAGGAAAGGTCAGTGTTAACTCAGGATAAATAAGTGGTTAAAAGCTCAGGTTTGGGCATTGTACAGCTCTCGGCCTTTAAATAGCTCCATTACCCGGGATGAGTCTCCCAATCTCTGCGAGCCTGAAACACCTCTTTGTAAAACCTTCCAAAGGTTAGTGCAAAGAGCAAGTCAGACCAGACCCATGGATGTGAGTGAAGGGCCTAGCACAGTGCCTGGGCCTCCTGGTTTGCTGCCCTGTGAGAGGCTGGATCTTGGCTGATGGAAGGGATCAGAGGGGCCCCTGCTAACCTGATGGCCAGCTACTCTGGGGAACCTGGTGACACTATCTCTTTCATGGCCTCTAGCTCCAGCCCCTCAGAAGGGACGCCTACGGTTGGCAGCTATGGCTGTACCCCTCAGTCGCTGCCCAAGTTCCAGCATCCTTCCCATGAGCTGCTCAAGGAAAATGGCTTCACACAACACGTCTACCACAAGTATCGTAGGCGCTGCCTTAATGGTAAGAAGCACAGGGGGAAGGGACAGAGCTTCTGGGGCCACCACTTAGATCCAAGGTGTAAGTGCTGGTGGAGGAGGTGACTATTTTCTCTGACCTCAGAACAAGTAGATGTGACATTATAGCCCGAAGGAATGAAGTTACTCAGGCCAGGTAGTTTTGGATACAGGAGGCTGAAAGAATCTGGTACTCAGAACCTTCCTGTTCCTTGATCTTCCCCTGTTGATATAAAAAATACCAAGAGTTTTCCTAGTTCTGGAAGACCACCAACTCAGCCATTGTCCATTGCAGTCCACTGTCTATCACAAACAGTCTGTGTGAGGTAGCATGTATTGTCTGGAACAGGGGTTACCTAACTGTGTGTGGCCTGTGGGCCACATCCAGCCAGCAGCCTATTTTTGTAGAGCCTTGAGCATTTTTAAGTGGTTGTGGAGGGAAAAAAAGAATTAATGCCAGAGCCCATACATATGTGGCCTGCAATACCTAAAATATTATTCTCTGGCTCTTTACAGAAAAAAGTTTGCTCTAGACAGTGTAAGAAAAGGACCTCTCTAGATGCTCTCACCTATTTCCTTTTATGACAAAATGAGACATTTTTTTTTTTTTTTTTAATTGGGGAATTGGAGGGGAACAACGCTGGGGAATCAGGGAAGGGGAACAGACAAGTTGCTGTCCTTTTGTTCTTCAGTCTAGTTATGGAGGATGTTGCTTCATTGGCCCAAGTTGATACCATCATTGCGCTCTTCCCGGGCGAGGCAGATCAGTCTCTGGCTTCTGGATGGCCGCTGATGGCGGCTGCTGGCCACACATGGTAGCCCAGCTCCAGGTTGAGCTGTTGTTCAGCATCTTAGCTGTAGAGGGCAGTGTCACTGGCCCTCATATGTGGGATCCGAACCGGGGCCCTCTGGCGTCCCAAGCCAGCTCCTAACCATCACGCCACTCGGCCGGCCCATGAGACGCCTTTTAACTGTACGTTTCTGTCAGGTTGACTGTAAAGATGCTCAAAACCAATCTTGAGTACTCACTTGTAGTTATTAACTCATCCCACCCCCTTTCATTCAGCAAAACATGGCTGCTAGATGCTGGTTCAGCACCTTCCCTTCCCTCTTCCTCTGTGTGTGTAATAGCTGCTTTATTGAATACAATCCACATACCATACAGTTCACCCATTTCAAGTGTACAATACAATCACCAGGATCAATTTTAGAACCTTTTCATTACCACAGAAAGAAACCCTGAGTCCCTTATTAGTCACTCCCCAGCGCCTCCCAGGCGTACCTACACAACCACCAGTCTACTCTCTCTATGGATTTGCCTTTTCTGCACACTCCGTATAAATGGAATTACATTATCTGCTTCTTTGTGACTGGCTTCTCTCCCTTAACATAATATTTTCAAGGTAGCATGTATCAGTACTTCATCCCTTTTATTGCCAAATAACATTCCATTATATGGATAGACCACATTTTGTGTATCTGTTCATTAATTGACGGGCATTTAAGTTTCCACTTTGTTGTGAATAATGTTGCTCTGAACATTGCTATAAAAGTTTTCTGTGTGTGTATGGGTTTTCATTTATCTTGGGTGGAAGTGTGGAATTGCTGGGTCGTATGGTAACTCTATGTTTAACCTTTTGAGGAACCACAAGATTGTCTGCAAAAGTGGCGGCACCATTTTGTTTTCCTAACAGCAGTGTATGAGGATTCTGATTTCTCCACACCCTCCCAGCACTTAATTGTCTTTCTTTGTGATTATAGCCATCCTGGAAAATATGAAGTGATACCTCCTTATGGCTTTGATTTGCATTTTCCTGATAGTTAATAATGTTGACCCTTTTTCTGTGTTGGCCATTTGTATTGTCTCCTTTGGAGAAATGCCTATTCAGATCCTTTGCGTATTATTTAACGGGATTATTTTTCTTTTATTATTAAGTTGTAAGAGTTCTTTATATTCTAAATAACATCTTTCTTATCAGATACATGATTTGCAAATATTTTTCCCATTCTGTGGGTTGTCTTTTTCCTTTGTTGATAGTGTCCTTTGAAGCACAGAGGTTTTCAATTTTTTTTAATGTTAATCAAATCTATTTTTTCTTCAGTTGCTTGTACTTTGGTGCTGTGTACTGTTTTGTTTTGTTTTGTTTTACCATTCTGCACTTGTTAATATTGTAGGGCTCATGAAATAATTGATAATGAAGAATTTCATTTGTTAGAATGTACAAATTACTAGTTCATGCTTTTCTTTGTTCTTACACACTTGAGAACAGTACCCTTTGAGGTGAAGAGCTAGACCAGGATGACCTGGCTCAGAAGGTGATACCACCTGTTTCTGGTGAGGTTCAGGCCCAGTGCCCGGCAGCCGAGCCTGACACAGAGTAGTTAAGTGCTCAGTAAATATCTCCTGAAAGACTGAAGAGGCAGGTGATGAACAAGGGAATTGGGAGGTGTTGGAGAAAGGACCAAGATCTTTAAGCTCCAGGATCATTTGTTCCCCAAAGAACAGGCAGCTTGGCTCTTAAACACGTCTTTCCTTCTTTCTCTCCCATCAGAGCGGAAACGCTTGGGCATTGGCCAGTCTCAGGAGATGAACACTCTCTTCCGCTTTTGGTCCTTCTTCCTCCGAGATCACTTCAACAAAAAAATGTATGAGGAGTTCAAGCAGCTGGCTCTGGAGGATGCTAAAGAAGGCTACAGGTGAGCTGGATTGGGCTGAGGGTTCTGGCTGGTGCTTGGCAGGTGGTGAGGGGTCCCTGGTGGTTCTCCTTCCAAAACTAACTGAAAATCTGTTGTGTATATACTTCACATACTTCATTAAAAATTTATTGTTTTTGAATGAGTAGTATGTTCACATGGTTCAAGATTCAGAGAGTTCAAAGATTATATATATAGTGAGAAATCTCATCCCTGCGCCCTGCCATTTAGTTCATTTTCCCAGAGGCGTCCTGTTTTGTTGGAATCTTGTGGGTCCTTTCTGAAAACACTTTGCCCATGTAAACAAGGACATACACCTATGTAGTCTCCCATACATCCCTTTTATTTGCACAAAAAATGGCCTCTTGTATATGCTTTCGTACCTTGCTTTTTGACTTAATGCTATATTTTAAAGATCATTCCATATCCATTCATAAAGAACTTTCTTGTTCCTTTTTGTAGTCTGTATGATGTTACGCTGTATGGATGTACTATAATTTATTTAACCAGTCTCCTATTATAGATACTTTTAAAGACTTCTCTTTTCCCCCCAAGTAAAATGTGCTCTCTGTAAGTAATTTGAAAAGTACAGAAATGCCTAAAGAAGCTGGGGGAAAACAACCTTCAGTTCACAGACCAACCAGTTTTGATGTTCTGCTATATTTCATGTTTTTTTAGATAATCCTAGGAGTGCCTTTTTGTGTCATATCATTTATAAGCATGAGCATTTTTCCATGTTGTTAAAATAACTTTTTAAGTGTGTGCTCTTCCAAACTTGGTGTGCATGTGTAGATGTAAAATTTGCATACTTGTTTACAAAAATGGGCCTATTCTACATATAACACTTTTTTTTTTTTTTTTTAAGATTTATTGGGGAATTGGGGGAGGGAAACAGCATTGGGGAATCCGGGAAGGGAAACAGACAAGTTGCTGTCCTTTTGTTCTTTAGTCTAGTTGTGGAGGACGTTGCTTCACTGGCCCATGTTGGTATTATCATTGCACTCTTCCCGGGTGAGGCAGATAGGTCGCCGGCCCCCTGACGGCCGCTCATGGCGGCTCACGGCAGTTCACACCGGTTGCCAGCCGCACACAGTAGCTTACGGCAGCCCACTGCTGTAGGGGCTGCAGCCTATGCCATTGCTGGTGACTCATGGCAGCCCAGCTCCAGGTTGAGCTGTTGTTCACCATCTTAACTGTAGAGGGCGCAGCGTCACTGGCCCTCATGTGAGATGCGAGCCAGAGCCCTGCTGCTCAGAGCTGGCGTCCCAAGCCAGCTCTTAACCAACGCACCACTCGGCCGGCCCTACATATAACACTTTGAAACACCTTTTTTACTTGATAATATAACCATCTGTCAGTATCCATCAGTGAATATTTACATTATAATTTTTAATAGCCTGTATTATTCTGTTGAATGGATTTACCATGGTTTTCTTAACTGTTTCTCTACTCTTAGACATTTAGATTTTGTTTAATAATTCTGCTATGAACAGTTTTGGTACATCTGTAAACTAAATCTGTATTTTTGGCCATTTTCCTGACATGTTCCTAGAAGTGAAATTTCTGAGTCAGATACGTATTGGCATGGTCAGATGGCTTTGCAGAGAGCTTATGCCAGGAATTGGCAAGCTTTGTCTGTAAAAGGACAGGCAATAAATATTTTATGCTTTGTGGTCTCTGCTCAACTCTGCTGTGTAGCAGAAAGCAGCCAATGACACTTCACAAATGAATTGGAGTAAACAAATGGTGTGGGCAGGAGGCTACTATTCATTTGGCCAGAGTTTGCTGACCCCGGCAAACTATTGGGTTATCAGAAAAGTCATGATGCATTTTTGCAACGAAAAACATAGAAAAAATACTTCATGACTTTTCCGACAACCCAATATAAAGATGTAATGTTGGACCCACTTAGACTAGCATTAAATGTTAGCTTTCTTAAAGAATATTTGCCATTTCCTTGATAATCCGTTGTTTAAACTCGTTCGCAGCTCATCATTATGCAGGTACATTTCCGTTTTACAGGTGAAGAAACTGAGTCCTGATTTCACTCACTTGTGTTCTCCTACAGATATGGTTTGGAGTGCCTTTTTCGATACTACAGTTATGGCCTGGAAAAGAAATTCCGGCTGGACATATTCAAAGATTTTCAGGAGGAAACCGTGAAGGACTATGAAGCCGGTGAGAGCCGAGTTGGAGCTCTGTGAGCCCTGGTCCTCTAGGACTTCTTCCCCTGACTCCCCAGTTGGACCCGCGTCTATCACACCAAACCCTCTTTCCCCTGAACCTCTTTATTCTCAACGTACCCTCACCCGACCAGCTTTTCTACCTCCCTCTCCTCTTTCCCTACAGGTCAACTCTATGGGCTGGAGAAATTCTGGGCCTTCTTGAAATATTCCAAAGCCAAAAATTTGGACATTGACCCCAAACTTCAGGAATACCTCGGCAAATTCCGACGTCTCGAAGACTTCCGAGTGGATGTGAGTGCAAGTTGCTCTTTCTCACCCTCATTGTCTTAGAAGGAAAACTGGACCAGACATCAGAAAACCTGGGTTCAGACCTCAGCTGTGCCACTAGCCCAGGAGCCATTCCCCCATTTGGGCCTAGTTTCTTCTATAAAATAGGGGGTGAGAAGTGGACAGTGAAGGCTAATTGGAAGGGATTATATGGTTGCGCCTTCCTCCCCTTCCCATGGTAGACATGGCTAAACCATCATAACATTCTTTCCTTCTTATCTCATAACCCTGTTTGGTGCTGTGTGTGCCCTGGTTAGCCTCTCCTCGTTGATCAGGATGGGTACCCAAGGTAAAATGTATTTGCTCTTTCTGAAAGAGGCCAGTTCCAACCCCAGAAGTTTATAAATTATGTTCAGTTGTTTCTCCACCCCTGTGGCCACCACCCCGCACCTCCCCCGACCCCCACCCTCATCCCCACCACCTTCCTGGCTTCATGGTGCAGTGGCTCAATAGTGACATCCAGTGGTGGATTGGGGTTATTGCTACTGGTTGTTTCAAGGGAAGTGTTGGAGTGATTGGACATGTCTCTGTGCTAGGTGCTTCATGGACTCCAGAGATGAGTGAAAGACTCTTTTTCCTTCAAAGAGTTATAGTGTAGTAGGGACATGCCACTTATCTTATTCCCTTGAAACTTTTTAGCAAAAAGACATACAAGTAAATAGCAATAATGGTCCACATTTTTTTTTTTTTTTAAGATTTTATTGGGAAATTGGGGAAGGGGGAACAGACAAGTTGCTGTCCTTTTGTTCTTCAGTCTAGTTGTGGAGGATGTCGCTTCACTGGCCCATGTTGGTATTATCATTGCGCTCTTCCAGGGTGAGGCAGATCGGTCGCCGGCCACTGGATGGCTGCTCACAGCGGCTCTTGGCAGCTCTCACCAGCTGCCAGCTGCTCACGGTAGCTCACGGCAGCTCCACTGCAGCCTACGCCGTCGCCGGCCACTCACAACAGCCCACCTCTAGATCGAGCTGTTGTTCACCATCTTAGCTGTTGTTTACCATTCGAGCTGTTGTTCACCATCTTAGCTGTAGAGGGCGCAGCGTCACTGGCCCTCATGTGGGATCCGAACCAGGGCCCTGCTGCTCAGAGCTGGCGTCCCAAGCCAGCTCTTAATCAACGCGCCACTCAGCCGGCCCAAGTCCACATTTATTTTTTAAATGTCATTGATTAAATGTTTAGTACGCGTTGGGTACTTCACAAGTACTCATTTAAGCTTTATAAAGTGGTGAAGTGGGCAGAGTTTATTATTGCTGGACCAATGGGTACAACTAAAGCCCCCGGCCACCCAGTAAGGTGGGCGCCGTACTGCGCAGGTCTCCCATGTAAAGATGAGATGGTTCTCTCCATCCGTAAGCACTTGCTCCTCCGGAGGTTGGAGTGGAGAGAACCCTTGTAATAGGACGACCAGCTAGGGCGGAACAAGATGGGCTCAGCTTTGGAGCCCAAAAAAGGAAGGAATGCTCTCGAGGTTACAGGTAGCGGCGCAGCCAGACAGCTCCTGGTCCGACTCTTAGATCAGTGTTCTGCTTAGGGCCTGAGTGGATGCGGCAGTCCCCAGGCGCCTCTGCGTCTTCTAAGCTGAGCATTCGCAGCATTTTGTGTACCACGTTCCCATATCATTTCCTGAGCAGTGACCCTTTCTCATAACGGGAGCAGACACTCGTAGGAATAAAGAGCTGGCTTCAGCTATAGATGGGCCCAGTCCATATGTTGTCTTCACCGATTGCCAGCTAGGGGACCCTGGGCACATGATCTTCCTGTGCCTCAGTTTTCTAATCTGTAACATCGGATGATTGCGTCTACATCCAAGGGTGGGATAGATGCCATGAGTGAATGCATAAATAGTGCGGTACTTGGTATCTTAGCATAGAGAAATGCTCAGTAAAACCAGCAATTCGTCTTTAAGGTGAAACCTATTATATGTACATTACATTTGGAGGTGAGAAGTAGGAGGTTGCTAGGCAGCCCTGGCAAGGGTGGATGCAGGTCGTGCCTCCTTATCACCTGTAACTCCCTCCTCTGTTACAGCCCCCCATGGGTGAAGAGGGCAACCACAAGCGACACCCAGTGGCAGCAGGAGGTGGTGGCGGTGAGGGCAGGAAACGGTGCCCCTCCCAGTCTTCCAGCCGGCCCACCCCCGTGATCAGCCAACCCCCCACACCACCCACCGGCCAGCCCATCCGGGACGATGCCAAATGGACAAGCCAGCACTCGGACACACAGACTTTGGGAAAGTGAAAAACCCCTTAGCCCTGGGGAGTTTTGGGGGGGAGGGTCGGGCAAGAGTCCATAGGGGTGCCCAGTCCCAGAAGAGCGGACAGAGAAGGGACAGGCCGAGAGTCATTGGGATGGGCCTTCGTGCTGAGTAGCAGTGCGCACACCATCTGGGCTATCAGAGGCAGCCTGGGCAGGAACCTCCATATCCCCTCTCCCCCCTCTCCATGGCCCGTCTTCACATCCTAGCTTCTTCTAAGGGGGGAGGGGAAGGGGGGAGATTTTTATATATATATATATATATATATATATATACATATACATATATATATATCAAGTTTTAAATTATTGATAGTTTGTCTGGATTACCAAAATCACTCTGCAGCCCTGCCCGCGGCTGGTAGGCCGCAACCCTGGTTCCCACCCCACAGCCTCCTGCGCCCCCTCAAGCCAACTATGCAGCCCACGAGAAGGCCCCGTGGGCCCCATTGCCCAGTACTGTCCATGGAAGGCTCTGGCAGCGCCCCTGGGTTCCACGAGCACCAGCCCCTTTATCACCTGGGGCTTGCCATCTCCGTGTTCTGTCCTCTCCCTGCTGTCCCCACCATACCCTTCTGCCATCTTCCGGGAGAAGGAAACCAAAGGATCTAAAAGCGGAGGCGGGGAAGGTTTGGACCTTTCCCCACTCCTCTCTCCACGCCCCTTATTCCCAAGCCTAGAGGGACGCTGCTCATACCAGAAAAGACTATTGAGAGATGATTTATTTTATTTTTCTCTGACCTTTTCATCCTTGGGGAAGGAAAAAAAAAAAAAAGACAAAAGCGACCATAAAAGACCAAAAAAAAAAAAAAATCCGAAACCCCCACCTAATCCACAGAAAGTAATGTCTTTCCCCTATCCTTGGAATTCGTTTTTTGTTTTGTTTTGTTTTGTTCTTGGAAATAATATTTTTTTAAAAGTTGCCTTATTGTGGAGCGGGAATCTGAAATAACCCAAATGCCTGTTTTCCTCGGTGGAGTCAACTTGAAGAGCCCCACCTTCTCTGGATGTGCCTGGGCTGGATGGGCTAGAATCTTTCTCTGGACTAAGTTGCATGTACAGTGCCTCCTGCCTGGAGGCGAGAGAGTTGGGGCGGCTTGGATGAGAGCCGTGCCCGAAATATCCCTGCTGTTGCATCGTTTGAAGCTGACGTCCTGTGTCTGTACACTGCTGCCACTGTTGTGTCCTCACTCTGCTTGCTGTTGCCTCAAGCCAGGCCCTGTCCTGCCGTGACACCCTTCATCCTACCCTCAGAACCCTAAGGCCAAGTTTGCTTCAAACTGTTGGCGAAGAGTATTGGCCTGGATCTGGGGCACACATGTCCTCATCTTGACCGTCTCCCCACCTCGGGAAAGGTGAACACCTGGCAGTGGAGGCTTGGAAACCTTTCTTGTGTTGGCCTGAAAGATCTTGGAGACCTCAAGGAGCTTTGTCTCATAAAAGGTGGAGGAAAATGCCATTCTTCTCCCTTGGGCCTGGTGGGGTCTCCCACATTGCATCCCCCTCTGCAAGTCATCTCTGCCCATCCTCCAATTGACCCTGCCTGGGAACGAGGGAGGAGGGGAGGAGGAGGTGGGGCCTACGGGGAGCTCTGCCAGTTGGAGAAACCCTGCGGCAGGAAGGTATATGTGGACATAGAGTATACCTGACTTCTCCAGCCACAGACTGCTTGGGTTGGGCTGTGACTGACAATGAATGGCTGGAGTCGACTGGAGTCTGAAGCTAGGGAGGGTGACGAAGGACTGACACACACAGACTGGACTGTGTGTCAGGTGCAGGCGTGACGATGCGTTGACCTCTGGTGGGGACCAGGCAGCACAGAGAAGTTCATGGTAGTGTTGCTCAGTCGCTGACACTTCCTTGGCCCTCTTTTTCAACTGCTCCCTCTGTTGGGCTCAAAGGCTGGGAGTAGGAACTAGTATCCCAGGCCGGCAAGGGCTTGCCTCTGTCTTGGCCACCCTACGGCTCTCGGCCTACACTTTCCCTCATCTCTGCCCTTCCAGTGATCAGTATGTGGGAAGCCCATCGCAGTTCCTCTGACCCAGGTGTCTCAAAAGCCAAGGATGAGTGTCTGATCTCTGCTCTGACGATGGGAGCTGAGGCCTTTCCCTGCCCAGCCTGGCGGCCTGCCTCACATTGTGTCGGACACTGGACTCCTGCACCCCAGCCTCTTTCTTGCTTCATTTCCGCCTTTCTTTCCTTCAGGTTGCTCAGCCCTGTACTGTATCCAGCACCACAGAAACCTCAGTGTTTGTCCTCTGCTGGGTTTGGGGGCACAAGGAAGCCTTGGGAATGTAGAGAAAGGCTATTATAATCTAGAGTTGACTACCAGGCCAGGGGGCTGTCATCTTCTCCCTGATCCTCCCACAGACATCCCAGAAAGAGGAAGCCCCTTTGGGGTGAAGAGGTGAGGACTTCATCTCAACATAGACTGAGGATGGGGAGGAAGGAGACTTTTTCTTTCTTTTTCTTCCTTTTTTTTTTTTTTTTTTTGTAACATGTTAGGAGTTGATGTTGCAAAGAGTAGTTTACATCTTCACTTTCTGAAGACACTTGAATTTAGGACCGATGTATCTGTGACAAACGTGGCAGGGGCCATCAGGGATTGCCACTTGACACTCACCATCCTCCCATGGGGATCCTAGATCTGAGACAGAGCAACAGCCTGCCCAAAATCCTGTTCGTCCCATACCCTTCCAGGATTGGCCCATGCCAACAAAACCTTTGGGCATCAAACATCAGGTCTGGGTGCCTCGACCCTGCTAAGGGGCAAGCTTCTCTCACCCTCCCTGGACCTTGGAGCAAATGCACTACCAGTATAGAGGGGCTGCCCAGCCCTGCTGCAGCCTGGACCCCCCGGGCTCAGAGCCAGTTGCTGAGCCCCCCATGTCAAAGTTGTTACGTTTTGTTTTGTTCCATTTTCACTCTTTTTTTTTCCCCCTTTGCTGATTGATTTTACAAAAGAAAGTAAGCTGCTCGGAAGGCCCTGGAAGTGGAGAGCAGGGGCAAGGAAGACAACTACCTGAGGAGGGTTGGGGTGGGGTTTGTTTTTGTTTTTTTGTTTTTTGCCAAAAGCCTGGGTAGAGTGGTCTGGTTCATCTGGCGCCCTCCTAAGTGGGACCTCAAAGGATCTCTTGTGTGGAAGGGTCCCTGGATTTGCCCCAGCCCCACCCTCTCCTTCAGCCATGTTGATGGCAGAGGCAGAGAAGATTGGAACTTACAGCCCATTTCTCACTGGAGAGGAAAACTTGTCATCTGGCTTTGTGGAGAAGGTTCCACCTTATGCTCATAGTACATTATCTTTACCATGTGCTAGGATATCACATTTAAGAGGACAAAAAAAAAATGTAAAATACTTGAATGAGCTTGTATTATAACATTAATATTATTGAGAGTATCTGCTTTCCAGGCTGAAGTGATTCATTCATTATTCTAGTCCTGCTTTAGTCCTTTGTAATTTGTGGTAATTATGCTTTTCTTTTTAATACAAAAAAAATGTATAAAAATAAAAACTTGAAAAGGCACAATACTGGCTGGTCTCCCATCTGGGGTACAGCTGTTGGGGGTGAGGGATGGAGCTTGATGAGGGAGGAGCCTTGCGCTGCACATGGGACAGTGGCGGGGCTCTGCCATTGGACTTTGGGGGAGTCTGCCTAAGACGGGCCCCTTAGCCACTGCTACTGCATCCAGGTGAATTCCTCAGTGGCCTTGAGTGCTGCCGGCCTTGAATTCACGTATGCCTTGTGTTTCAAGTGAGATGTGGGAGCTACAGCCAGTGCCACAGAACAGACTGCCCAACAGAATTCCAGGGTTCCCTGCCCTGGCGGTGGCCTAGTTTTGTGGGAGGAGACGGCCAAGAAGATGGAGGCTGCTGTGATTTCTCACAGGAGGGTCAGCACGGCCTCACTGAACAGACAACACTTCAACACTGGCCTTCTGGAATCCAGGTCAGCCACGGAGCTCGGAGGGTTGGTGGTAGGGCGGGATGGGACGGTGAGCGTCGTGCCCCCTCCTCCCGTCACTGCCCTCTGGGCTGTTGGTGTCACTTCCCTGACCCGTAAGGCCAGGTGCTGTCAGTGGTAAAATTCCAGTCTGGCCTAGATGTGTAATTACAAAATAAAAATGAGGTGTGGCCTGATTTACTCATTTATCTGACAACTATTTGTCTCCCAGGCATCTCATCAGAAATGGTTTTCCAGAGAATTCCACCTTCCGTCGAGTGGGCGGGTACTTGGATTCTTCCAGTGGCTTGCACAGGCCAAAGAAGAGTTTAGAAGATAGTGGCCAGGGCTGCTGCAGACTGATTTGTACAGGAAGACAGTTAATTCAACTTCACTTCCACAACCTGTTAGGAGTACTTGTGAAAGAGGCCACTGATTTGTTTCAGCTGTGCTGCCATAGCTTCCAGATGCCATGTGATCGAGAATGTTGAACGAGTCATGTAGTGGAAAGAAAGAAAACCAAGTGTCCAATGGAGCTAAAAGGAGACCATTTTATTTTCCATGCTGCTTCATTTCACATGCACATTTCTGCTGGGAATTGGAGACCTTGGCCTTTTGAGCCTCATGTGTTTACCAGCCTCAGGACCATTCTGTTGGATGCAGAAGAGGATGGGATGGGGGCCCTCTGCCAGGGCCCAACCCCCCTGCCTGCTAGAAGAGGTCTCTCACCTCTTGTACCCCTAGGTCTCCTGCAGTAACTTCAAAATCTAAAGACCTGAAAGGGGGGAAAAAATGTTTCCATTCTTCCTCTTTCTCCAAGCTCCTCGTTTCCTACCCTTAAGTCTACTGCAGATGGGCTATTATCCAAGTGTGTTTGTAGGGACAGGTTGTGGGTGCAAGCCAGCAGCTGTCATAACTTAGAGCATCGATGTACTGGAATTTGCACTTCAAGCTAAGGGCACAGGCCGTCCTAGGGCGGGGCCTGGTCCACCAACGCCAGAGGTGGGACTTTGGAAGGCCAGGGAGGACGCTGCCTGGTAAGCGTCCAGTCGGCCTACTGGGCAGGTCCTCTGGGGTCCTAGGGCTGATAGGAAGAGATACTTTTTGATGGTTCTGCCTGGAGACTCGGCCATATCAGATGTTAAAGTATTATATTAAAACTCCAGTGGATCTTGAACATGACATAGGAAAACAAAGTGTAGGAATAGGCCCAAGTATATACAAGAATATATAGTAACTGATAAGGGAGGCTTTCAAATTGTCCTCAGGAGCCACAGGGTTCCTAGCAGTGTCAGTGGCTGCTGAGGGAAGGCCAGGGTAGGACTGCTTCAATCCTCGCAGCTCTGGTTTTCCTATAGATAAGGTTCCTGGTAAGGTTTCGTTTGAAAAGGCATCATTGCTAAAATCATGCCGAATAAATGGTGAAACAGTGGGTTCATTTGGGGGGAAATGAGGATTTGGCCTTTCGTTCAGCCAAGTTTTCCTTGCCTTCTCAAAGGAAGAAGAGGGTGCTAGCCTCTGGTCCTGCTTCAGAGAGGCTAGTTGGGGGCCTCAGTTGAGTGTCGCCAAAGGTCAGCAGCTCTGACCCCTCTATGTAAAAGGGCTCCCAGCTGAGCCGGCCCACAGCGCTTGGCCTTTGGTCCCCATGTGTGGCTGAAGTCTGCACTACTTTGGTATTTCGGTTGTAATCCAGGGAATAGCCTCTGTAATTGGTATTTTTCAGAGGGGTGATGTTTGTTTGCAGTGGGTCATAGTTAAAATGAAGCTTTTATCACTGTGTGTGTGTGGGGGGGCGCACTGGGGACTTGGTCCCCATGACTATTACCCCGAATTTCCTGGAAGCCGATCTCCCCCCCGCCCTCAGTGCTGTCATTAGCGTGTGTGGCTTAAGGAGCAGGTCATTAAGTGCGATCAGAAAGCCTTAGGCTACCTTAGCAGTCCACTGCTGAGGGGACAGCCAAGATGGCACTCAGGCCCTCTCTCACTCCATCTTCTTCGGGGGGTCGGGGATGCTCTCGGAGAGCGGGGTGAAGCCTAACAGGAGGACGTGTCTCTCATAGGCCTTGGTCTGCTTAAACACAGTGTCAGTCCCGTGGAGGTGGTCCAGCACCCCCAGCACCCCGTAGCACTGGTTGAACCTGGAGGAAAGAGGAGGGTGCTGAAGGCCCACGTGCTGATCTCAGCCTCTCACGTGCGTCTAGGCCCTCCTACCCGTACCTGCCCCCACCATGCTGACCACATGCATCAGAATAACCCAGGGGGTTGTTGGCGTTCCTGGGGCCACTCGACTGAAAATCTGCCACCTTCCTTTGAAAAGCTCTCTGTGTGACTGCAGTGCACGCAGGTCAGAACCTGTGGCAGAGCTCGGCTTGTTCAGGCAGGTTCAGGGACCACCTGCAGCAGGATGCCCTGGAACACTTCCTAAAATGCAGATTCCCAGGCCCTGCCTCCCCTCTCCCCAGACACTTTGATTTGGCATGTTGGGAGTGGAACCCACGAGCCTGCTTTTGAGAAGTACATCCCGGGTGGACTGTGGTGCAGTTTCACAGACCCCATTTGAAAAAGCCTGGAGGGCTTTCCGAGTGTGCACAGCTCCCCGCGAACTGCACGCAGGATTTTTATGTACATATACATTGGACCTAAATAAAGGTTAAAAGCCCGGTTGCCAGACGGCCCAGTGTCAGAAAGGAAAAGGGTGAGGCAGTCCGCGTTCCAGCACGGTGGTTCTTTTCCCCACCTCCAGACCTCTCCCTCCACTAACACCCACATTTAAGCTGAGTCACCAGCATCTGCTAGCAGAAGCCCCAGGAGTGAAGGTGGACGTTACTGCCCCGGGACCCACAACGGGGAGGTGCCTTACTTGAGATGGTGGTAGTCGTGGAACTCAGGCGAAGGCAGGAAGGGCAGGTGGTAGCCGCAGTGGGAGATGGTGGTGACGATGAGGGCCAAGGAGAACCACATGGTGATGGAGGACAAGTGGGAACTCATGAGCATGGGACCCACTATCACCGGCAGCATGTTGGAGACCTGCACGGGGAGGGCTGTTAGAGGGGGGTCTCGGGGAGGCGCACAGGACCCAGGTGGGTGCTCCCTTTGCCCCGAGGTGGTGCCGGGAAGACTTCCTTGACTCGGATCAGGAGAAGCTGGAAGACTTTCAGGACCTTGATTTGCTGGAATCGTTCACCTTTGTGACTTGGGACACATTAATGGTTTGAGCCTCAACTTTCTCATTAGTAACATGAGGATTAAAACGGCAGTTGGGAAGATTAAACGAGATAACATCAGACATCTAGCATAGCGTGGCATATGCTGAGTCAACAGTCAGTGGTAGCTGATGGGAAGAAGGAAGGGGACGGTAGGGAAGGTGGTTAGCCCCGTGCCCTTTGCCTCTGGGGAGAGCGGAGCTCTACTCACCACGTGCTCGATGGGGTGGGCGTAGAGAGAGATCACGCCAATGGGAGCTGTCCACTCGTGGTGTTTCTTATGGATCTTCTTATAGAATGCTGGGTGGTGAAGGAGCCTGGGAGAATAGTTAATAGTTAAAATCTGCCAATCTCCCTTTCTCCCCTCACCAGACTGCGAGAAACCAAAGGTAAGGAACCAGGGGTTACATCTACGGAGCGAAGGTGAAAACACACTGGATTGGCACTCAGACCTGCCTTCAAGTTCTAAGCCCACCTCTTAGGCTGCATGATGTGGGGGTGGGTTGCTTTGCCTCTCTCCACCTCAGCTGTATTAGCTGTAAAATGGGGATGATAGATATCCAGAAAGGACTCACTAAGGAAGTGAACGGGAAAAGCCCTGCCGCACACATGAATAGAAGAGGTGCTTTCTTTCCTGGATATTCCTCGGTTGTCTCAAGTTGGCAGCTGGGGGACAGTGGTCTCCCTGGGAGGCTTTTGAGCATAGTTGGTGGTGGTGGCTTCAGTTTCCTTGTTCGTAAATGAGCCATACAGGTGTGAAGGGCCAGCTGTGCTCAGGCAGGAGCCCACTCACCGGTGCGAGTAGTAGAACATGATCTCCTCAATCAGTGTGAAGATGGCTAGCTCCAGGAGGAACCAGTGGAAAGTGGGCAGCTCTCGGCGGCAGGGGTCTCCCCACAACTTGAGGACGAAGTAGAAGATGACCACGATGGGGAGAGAGATTGTGAACTGGTTGAAGAGCACTGTGCGGATAGACTGGTGTAGTTTTACAGGGTCCACCTGCCCGAGGGAAGGAGGGAGACGGACGAGAGGTGAGAAGGAGGTCTTGCCCTTCTAAACACGAGGCTCCACTGTGACCTGCTCACAGGAAGTCCTCATTCAGGGGCAGATGCTAGGAGCGATGTCTGGCCGTAGCCGGCAGTCCCTGACTGCTGCCCAGCCCTGGAAACGCCCCTCCCGCAGCCTTCAGTCTCTGCCTGAGCCTGCCTGGTCGTTCCTGGTTCTGCCACTATCCTCACTGTCCCCATTTCTCTGGCCAAGCCCAACATATTCCTGATAGGCACCTTGGAGAGCCTCCAGGGTGCTTGGAAAAGGCTGTCTGCTCTCAGCTTGATACCCTTATTTGGCCTTTTAGCCCCTCCTCATCCAGAGAAACTTGACCACGGTCAGAGGCAGCCTCCTCGGACTAGGCCCAGAGCACAGAAGTAAGTGAGCCAGGTAGCTGCCTATCTGCCCTCCTAACATCTTGTGACCTGGTCTGGTTTTCACAGTGAGGCTGTCAGGCTGCCTGAGCCTTCTCTCCAGGGTCACTGTGAAGAGCTGGCCCCAGATGCCCACATCCCACTGAATATCCATGCTACAGCTAGTATTTCCCCAAGAGTCAGTAACCCCCTGACCCTTCCTTTCATCAGAGCACTGGGGGTCCCGGGAATAGCCCCATGAGGTTTAGGATTGATCAGAAGAGATTCCTCCCTGAGTTCTCTGCAGGCTGGAGGGGTTTCTGCTCCAAGGTGAGCCTGGGTTCATGGTCGTCCTCAGATTTCAAGCCTATCTCTTCCTCCAGCATTTCCAGGTACCGCCTGTATTGACTGATTTCAGAGATGATGGTTTTCTGATTATTTTAGGAAATGCAGGCTGAATGATTTAGGGTGAATTTATGATGCCTGGAACTTACTTTCAAATGTTTATGCAAAACAATTATAGAGACATAGATATATTTTTGTATACTGATGAAGCAAATGTAAAATGTTTAAAATTAGTGAATCTAGGTGATGTGTAAATGAGTGACCGTTAGATTACTTTTTTAACTTCTGTATATATGTTTACTACGTTTTATAATTACAAAATGTTGGAAAGAGAGTGGACAGAGAAATTGGAAACTGTATAGACAACTCTTTCAAAGGGCTTTGCTGAAAAGAGGAGCAAAAATGTGAGTGGTAGTGAGCATGGGAGATGGAGGGAAGGGTTTTTGTTTGTTTTGGCTTTAAACCAAAAAAATTATGGCATGTTGGTAATCCAGCGGAATAATCTGGGAGAGGGAGAAAAGAAAAAAAAAAGATACAAGAAAGAGAAGTGAGGATTGCTGGAGCACTTCCCTAGAGTAAACAAGAGGTAACGAGGTGTAGTGCACAGATAGTGGAGGGATGGCTGTAATGGCAGCAAGGAGAGTTCACCTGTTGAATCAGGTGGGAAGGCAGAGCATGTGTGTGCAGCTGCTGCCCAGAGGCTGATGGGGTGGAAGTCTGGAAGCTGTCTTCTGCTTCTTCCAATGTAGCGAAGAGGAAGCAAGGCCATCTTGCCGGAGGAGGTTAGGGGAGGACGTGTTGGGGATTCGAGCAGAGAGGAGGTGTGACCTGACTCTCCAGGAGAGGGAGAGTAAACAGACCAGGCACAGATATTATGGTTGCTTGCGGCGTTCAGGTCCCAACTGAGGATCTGTTTCTGATATCTTAGGTTAGGGGTCCTAGGTTAGTACTTCCTATAATTGGCCAAAGACTAAATGGCCTCCAGGGATTCCTTCTTACTTGTATGGCCACATGAGGATGCACACAGTATAGGAGCACTGGACTTGGAGTCAGGCGAGACGAGCCCTGGCTCTGTTTCCTAGTAACAGTCTGACCTTGAGCAAGTCACTGATCCTTTCCGAACCTCAGCTTCTGCAGAACGCAACACCTTCCCTGTGTGGCTCTCCAGTCGTAGACTGTGAAGTGTTGCCGAGAGCTGATGTGGCCTCGTGGTTAAGAGCATGAGCCCTGGCATCGGAAAGCTGGAGTGTGAATCATGGTTCTGCTTATGTCACATCCAGGGCAACAGCTCTGGTTCAAGAAAGCCTGGGTCAAGGGGCACTATTTTTCACTCATCCTGCTTTCTGGAGTGCTGGGCTGGGCAGAATGCCCTGAGAACTGAAGGTGATTCACCCAGGCACCTGGGCAGGTCATTGAAAGATGTTCTTCTCTGGGAAAGAAGCCAGGATGTGGTTGGGTAGAGCTGGGGAAGAACTTGGGCTAAAGAATCAACTTCTTCCTTGTTGGGTAAGAAAAGTCTCCTGGAGGTTGTCAGAGCACCATCAGGTAAGGCAGGCTCAGGAAGCTGTGGGGCTCCCTTCGGGGGGTGTGTAAGCACATGTGCTGGCCTCGCCGCTCCTGGGCCAGGAAAGAGTTCCTCACAACCAGTGTCCAGGCCTTGTTTACCAGGGATAAAGTCAGCACTATTGGTTCAACTGGGTAACTGGGAAGGGGGACCTGCTTAAAAAACCACCACCACTCACACACTAAACTATCCAACTAATATAATGGGTCAGCCATGGCTTCCACTGCTATCTCCCTCCCTCGTGACAGCTGTTATCCATGGTTTCAGCATCCGGCCACTGCTGTCCCTGCTCCTGTGGCTGAGGGTGGAGCTGCCTGACATCTTCGGGACTCAGCCCACTGCCAGGCTGAGCTGGTCATTTCTGTTCCTAAAATGCTAACCGAAGTGCTGGGGGGCAGCCCAGGCAGTGACAGTGTGGGGCTTGGTATCAGAAGACCAGAACAGGAGTCGTGGCTGGCCGGCTCTGAGATTTGGGCCAAATTACTTCCCCTCTCTCACTTTATAAAGCCGGAGAGCCTTGTACACCATAATGTGACTCACCTGGACCAGTGATAAGAGTTTTGAGAGTGGCTTCAGCGCCTGCTTTCTGAGCTTTGACCAGGAGGAGCTATAGCAACTTACCGGTTCATTCTTGCCAACCTGAATTCGGTAGCGGGAGATGAAGCTGGGTTTTCCAGTTGTGTCAACCACCAGTAGCAGCCCATTGAAGCCCCAGAAGCACAAACTGGGCACCTGGGTGGCACCTAAGGTCGGGAAGCAGAAGGCAACAATTAGGGTGAGACTTCAGGTTCTCGCAGCACAGGGATTCACTGGACACACATCGATGGTGACTGAGGCGGCATTGGGGAGACAGTCCCTTGCCAGGGAGATCCAGTGCTTGGGGCCAGGGGATCTACTGTTAGTCTTAGATGACAAACTCGCTGGGGGAACTTGGACAGTCACTTAAGGAGTGTCTCTACTTATTTTCTTAGTTGTAAAACGGGGACAACAATCTTCTAGGTGGTTGGAGACCCCCCCAAAAAAGTATATGCTCTATAATATAAATGAATTTAGGTTGACACTTGGGAGTCTGTGCCCACTGTATCCTTTATGAATTTCCAAGGAAGGGAGAAGCAAACAAAGTGCTTTGTATGGTATGGTTCACAATGAGCACTGGACTACAAGTCAGTCGGGGAACCTACTGCGTATTATCCTACTAACTGAGCAGCGTGACGTCAGGTGTCCAGGCAGCATTCCCCAAAGTGGAAAACTCTCTCTCAAGGGGTTTCTTGGTTAAACAGCCTTCATACCCTACTGTTTTGGACAGCCGTGGTCTGGACTAGTGTGTTAACAGCTCTGAGAAGTCCTGCAGTGAAGACACTGTTTGACTTTGTTAAACTCAATCTTTCCCAGGCTTTTTTTTTTTTTACCCCAGGACACTTTTCTCAGAAACACCTAAGAATAGGATGGCATGTATCTCTGCCTGCCCAGGACTATTTCGATTGACATCTGTCATTCCAGCATAATTATTAACATCTCACTTACTCTCACAAATGTCACTATTTGGATGATATATATATGGTCACTCCACTGATTAACATCCCCACAGCACTGGTGTTCTGCAAGATATATTAGCAAATGCTGATCAAGACTTAAAATTTAGACGGCTTTGGGCTGGTTGAGCGGCGCGTTGGTTAGGCGTTGACTTGGGACGCCAGCTCTGAGCAGCAGGGCCCCAGGTTCGGATCCCACATGAGGGCCGGTGACGCTGCGCCCTCTACAGCTAAGATGGTGAACAACAGCTCGACCTGGAGCTGGGCTGCCATGAGTCGCCTGCAACGGCGTAGGCTGCAGTGGGACTGGTTGGCAGCTGGCAGGCATTTTCGTGAGCTGCCATGAGCCACCCTGAGCAGGTGTCCAATGGCTGGCAAGCGACTGCCTCACCTGGGAAGAGTGCAATGATAATACCAACATGGGCCAGTGAAGCAACGTCCTCCACAACTAGACTGAAGAACAAAAGAACAGCAACTTGTCTGTTTCTCTTCCCCGATTTCCCAACACTGGTCCCCTCTCCCAATTCCACCCCCCCCAAAAAAAAATTTAAATGGCTTTTTGCTTCACATCCCACTTTTCCATGAAACCACTCCAAGTATCGCTGATGTCCTACTGTGAACAAACAAGCACTTTGTCTGTCCACTCCAACTGGCAGTTAATCAAGTAACATCACAATATTACCTAACTCTTGTACTATTAACTTTCTTTGTTCATGTTTTCCCTCTTCCTCTAAATTCAATATCCAAGGGACAAGGACATTTGACTTAACTCTGTGTCTTTCTATCCCTCCTCTATCAACCACAGTGCCTTGTGGCAGTTGGTACCTGAAAAATACTTGGCCAGCATTGTGGGGCAATTTGGCAGTCTCTGAAGTGAAAAAAAGAGAGAGACAGAGACACAGACACAGACCAACAAAGACAGGGAAAAAAGGACACAAATATATTTACACACATAAACGTGCACCACAGCATTTTTTAAATCACAGAACATTTAAGCAACCTAAATGTCTGTTAGTAGCAAATGAACTAAATAGACGAGTGTATTTGCATACACTGGAATGGATTGGACAGCTTAAAATGTTAAATAAATCTATATTAATTGACATGGAAAGATGTCCACAGACTATTTAATGAAAAAAAACGTTTTAAAAAAATGTGGTGTCTTGTAAGTTCAACCATACATCCAATGTTAGACCTGTACTAATATTATTAACAGTGCTTATTTCTTGGTTGTGAGAGAATGGGTGCTTTTTCACCTTCTTTATGCTTATTTGAATTTTCTGGTTTTTAACGATGAGCATGCATTTACTTTTATTTTCAGACATAACACATTTTTAAAAAATTGTTAGGCTGCTGGTTGCCTACTTGGAAATCCAAGGGCTCCTTAAGGAATGCAGAATGAAAACCACATGAGATGGCCTTGAACTGTCTTCCAGCTCTAACACTTAAAATTGCAAATATTTTCTCTTTCTGATATTTGCTTATCACCTTGGTGATGGGTAGCCTTCCCATCACTGTAATAGAAGTATATAAAACGTTTTCCTGCCACTTTCCCCATATACATTTGCAATTGGCATTATTCTTTGCAATGACTGCTTAAGATTCCATGGAACCTATTTATATTTAATGTTCAGCCCACTTTCAGAGTTGTCCTTCTAGCTGAAAACAATCGTCAGGGACATTTTATTTGTACTTTTGCTTTGTGACAACTGACCCTTTTTTATATCCCCTTCTAGATGGTGACGTGGTTTTTCGATGGGATAAACCAATGCTTTATCTAAACATCTCTATCCTCAGCACAAGTTTGGCACAGAGTAACATTAAAACATATTATTGCAGTGAATGATTGAGGACATTCACTATTGTAGATAATGCTATTATAAATCTTTTGAAATGGCTTTTGCTTCCACTATGTTTTCTTAGGCTTGTTTCAAGCCATTCACACTGTCAGTAAATATTGAGTGACCACTTGCTGTCCAGCCAAAGCTAGATGGCACCAAGTACAAGGACATGGCCTTACATGACATACAACAGCTCTCTGCGCTTGTGGACGTGACATCTAGAAGCAGGATTGTTGCTCAAAACATGCCTTCATTTTCACACAAACTATTTCTTGTTTTCATTTCTCTGTTTTCATGGGGAGGGGGATCTCCATTTCTCAGCTGCTTTTGTTGGATATCCTTAGATACCCGTGCTAGATTACCCACAGGCTTAGCAGTTTGGGGGTAACCACTGTCTTAAACTTTAAGTCCTTATTCTTTGTAGTAATGAGTTGAGTAGTCCCACGGGAGAGAACAAAACAATAGAAAAAACTTAAACTAGAATCGCGTACGCAAACCCTACGCGCTGGTGGTCTGGGAAGCTCACCTAGCACGAAGAGGAGCCACTCCCTTCCTTCAAATGTAGACAGCAGCCTCTCCCACTGAGCTTGCCAGAAGTAGCCAGAAGCGCCCCAAAATCTCTGAAGGTGCCTTGGAAGAAAAACCAATCAGGTTTCTGGGTGGAGACTGATGGGCGGACAGCTCTGCCCCCAGACCACCGCCACACTGTCCCCAGGTTCTGAATTAAAGCTGGCCAAGCGGACTCACCATGTGACTGAATTCCAGAAGGCCACAAGCAAGAGAAGGCCAGAGCCCAGGATGAAGGCCGTCTTCCTCATGGAGCCCCAGATGTGTCCCTCCTGGGGTGGATAAGCAAGTGTCAGGCCCCCGCTAGCCTCCTGCCTCCACACGCAGCTCACTGCTGAGGCCTGACAGGAGTGATAAGCGATCAGGACCTCAACCACGCCAGCACTGCACATCAGCTGACCTTTTCCCAACTCTGTGGGAGGCGTGCCCTTATCAACAGCTCTCAAGCTATACATGGGTGTGTTTATGAAAATGAGAGCTCAAGGTTGGGAGAGGGAAAGGAACCAACCTGACTCCAGAGACACAGGGCAGGTAATTCTGTCACTAAGAGGAAGGCAGGCGAGCCCTCCAACAGCTGTCCTGTTGTTGAACTGAGATGCCCATTATGTATACATTGGAATCACCTGGGAGCTTTTTAAAAGTCCAGGAGTCCAGGCCCCTCCCCAGCCCAAATACATAGAGTCTCTGGGGTCAAGCCTGGGCCTCCAGGTTTTTAAAAGCCCCCTAGCTAATTGCAATGGGCAGGCAAGGCTGAGACAGCCATCACAGAGGACCTGCAGAATCTCCTAATGAGGACAGAGGGACTTCATCGTACTCACGACCAGGCCTATTTTTCCATCCCTATCACCCTCTTGCCCTTGAAGACAAGAGTGAATGAGCTCATGTTCTGACTTTTAATAATTCCTCAGCTTTCCAGCAAGATCAGCCAGCCAAGCTTGCCAGCTGCACACAAGGATGAGCAGTTCTAAGGGCAAAGAACTGACCACTGGCAGTCACTGGGAGGTTCTATGTTCTCCTCCAAGAGCCTAAAGCAGAGATCATTGTAAGTGTGATGCTCAAACAAGCTCCCAGACTTGGAGAAGGAAAACACTGGCTGTCAGGTGAGTCACCCCTTTTCATTGTGCCATAGACAGGAACTACAAATGTCCCTCACACCTTGTTGCTAAGCCCGAGGGAGCTATCCTGCTCAGACTCTTCCCTGGGAGAGAATGGGAAGTGGTGGTCCCTATACCTCTGTGCCTGGGCCGACATGCACTTAATGAACTGGGCCACATACAAGGAGTCGGGGTGTTGTTGAGAGGGGGAGCTACGTTTTCATCCAGGCTTTTGAGATCTGAAGGAGCAGATTGTTTGGACTGACCCATTCAGGGCAACCTGAATCTGCACTGAATCATTTCTTCTTGGCCTACCCCATTCTGCTTTTGATCAAAAGACCAAAAAGAAGGAGGTCATTTTTTATGGCCATTGAAAAGTTTTTAAAAGGCTGGTGTTCATCGGGGTCTTGAGACCTAGAAGTGAGCTTCTCTTTTTCAATCTCTCTCCCCTCCCCACTTCCTTCCTTTCCTCCCTCCCTCTCCCTCAGAGCTGGATCCACAGGCTCATGGGAACTTGTTCCCTTACACAGTCCATTCAAAAGTCACCACCCCAAGCTTGTCAGGCAGGTTACCCTGGGCTTTTGAAAGTATTCCTTTTCTGGGATTCAGAGGGCCCTTTTCATGAACTTTTCCAGACTCACTAGGAAGTTTTCATTTGAGTTTAATCAAATCAAACTAAGTCAAATTAAAATCCTCAATTTCACATACAGGATTAGATCTTTTTTCAGGGATTGTGGTGTTTTCTCTCCCTTCAGCACCCCAAGTGGAGGGACTACAAACAGGACCAAGAGCTCTGTGAAATACAGGAGCTTGCAGTGCAGAAGGTGGCTGAGATCAAGAGCTGGTTCCCAGCTCCCAGGGGGCTTCTCTTGTCCCCGGGGCAGGTCTAGAAAGGGGTGGCTCCAAAGGCCCAATGCATGGGGAATTCTAAGGGCCAAGAGACAGTGGTAGGACAGCTATTGGGTTTTGCCACTTCCCTCATGCAGAGCTGCTCTCTCATGCGGGAAAAGGGGCTTTGGTTATAAGGCAGCTTGGTCAAGTGGTCTCAGCTCAGCTACTGAAATGAGCAAATCGCCAATGTGTCCGCGTCCCCTAAACCCTGGGGGAGATGTCAGATACGCAGCAAGCGCAGATGTGGAAAGCGTCACTGGCTAAATTCTCACCAGTGTGGTGGATGGGATGCCGCCATTTACCTGCTTCGGCTTCTCATCATGTAGCTTATTTCCAGCTTCTCCCTTCATCTAGGAAAAAAAAAAGCACCGTTGAGTCTGGTTGTCATTTTCACACAGGACCAAGAGAATGGGGATGGAGCAAGTCAAGGGGAATGGCTACCAGTGATTTTTAATCCTGGCTACTCATTAAAACCACCTGAGGAGTTTAAAAACAACAAACCTCTGATGGGCCCCATCTCCAGAGACTGAATTGCACTGGGCATCACTGCTGTGAATCGGGGTTGGCAATGGGACTTTGCCTGGAATTGGCTTTCTCAGGTATGGTCTGTGACAAAGCTTTCTTTTGAATAGTTTCACTCTGCCTCCATAAGACCTGTCTCATTCAGAAGAAATCTGTCTCCTGGACCCCCACTGTCCCCAAGTGCCCATGGCCTGTGGCCCCAAGAAACCAGGGCTCTGCCCCTGAGTTGCTTAGACAGTTTCCTTAATGTCTGTGAAGTCAGGTTACCACACATGGGCTGGGGTTTTCATGCTGACTGAAATCAAAGCATTTTGTAGACTGTTCAGTGTGATTCAAACGATAGGTATGTTTATATACAGAAATCATTAAGACAGTGAGCCTCAAAATCTGATACCTTTCTCAAGGCCATCTCTCAGTCATGTCTATCACTTACCAGTTTTGTGACCTAGGACGTTTTCAGTCTCTCTTTTATCACATTTCTTGGTATTCTTTTTAAGTGTTTGTGTAACAAAGTGTTTCCCCATATTTGAAATAATGCATGACTTTTCTGGGAAGGTGACAGCCTGGGACAGTGGCTGGCTTGGTGGGAGGGCACTTGAGTTGCTGGATAGTTGACCTTGTTGAGTATCCCACGTGTTTTATTACAAAGCTTTAATAATTAAAAAGCCCATGAATAGGCAGACATATATAACAGACTAGAAAGTCCAGAAATACACCTAAAAATATATATGGCGATTTAGTATATGATAAAAAGAAATCAATATAAATGGACTTTCAACAGAAGAGATGTTGAACCTCCCCCATAAAGAGAAATATGAATTAAAACCATAATAAGATATTATTTCTCACCTATCAGCATGGCAACAATCCAAAATTTTGACCACATGCTCTGCTGGAGAGACTTGAAATTTGTATTTGTTCTTATTCTTTCTTTTTAAAAATAATCTTTATTGATATGTAATTCACATGCCATACAACTTACCCATTTAAAAGTATACATTTACATGGCTTTGAGGATATTTACAGAGTTGCTCATTCATCGCCACAATTGATTTTAGAATATTTTCATCACCCATGAGAGAAACCCTGCACCCCTTCAGCTATCATTTCCAACCCCTCTGTCTTCCCACCCCCTTCTCTAGCCCTAGGCAACCATTAACCCACTTTCCGTTTCTATGGACTTGCTTCTTCCGGACATTTCATATAAATGGAATCCTACAATATGTGGTCCTTTGTGACTGGTTTCTTTCATTTAGCCAAAAAGTTGTCAAGGTTCATGCATGTTGTAGCGTGTATCAGTACTTCATTCCTTTTTATTACCAAATAACATTCTATTTTATGGGTAGATCATATTTTGTTCACCCGTTCATCTGTTGATGGACATTTGGGTTGTTGTCACTTTGTGGTTATTATGAATAATGCTTATGAGCATTCATGCACAAGTTTTCGTGTAGACTTTTTTTTTTAACTTCTCCAGTATATATGCCTTGGAGGGAAATTTCTGGGTCATATGGTAACTATATTTAACCTTTTGAGGAACTGCCAAACTGTTTCCAAGTGGTTGCACCATCTTGCATTCTCAACAGCAATATATAAGGGTTCCGATTTCTCTGCATACTCATCATCAACACATATTATTGTCCCTACTGAATGGTGTCAGAGCCTGGCTGAAGAGGAGCATAACAGGTCATTTGATCCTGCTATGTGACCACAATGAAGGAACCTAGACAAAGGAAGCCAGGTGAACCCCCAGCATTTATAGATGGCAAAGCCAGGGTCAGGGCCCAGCTCTGACCCTATCTCTAAGGACGTTTTATTCTTTTCTGTATGATTGTACTTGACTTTATTATTCTAAGTGCATGTTTACCAGCTATGACCTTATGAAATACTGCTTCCCTTGACCCACACTTCTTATGGGTTACTTAGGCCGAGAGAAGGAAGAGAGAATGGTGACCTACAAAGTGCCTTTAACAGTCTGAGGAGTTAGGACAGCAGAAGGAGGTGATAAGCAAGACCTTGCCATCTCCACTGAATTACATGACAGAGGGAGGGATGCAGTCAGCTTAGAGAAAAAGCCTGTCAGGGAGAAGTCCTGGGACATCTGATACCAGTCAGGGAGAGAGGCACCAGAAAAGCACAGAATGTCTGGTGCAGTGTTTCCCAATCCTTACCTGGAGGAGGGAATGGATTTCAGCCACTCTATAGCCACCACCTACCCCACAGCCCCCAGCCCCACCTGGGCCTGCTTTGCCATCGGTGCTTCCTCCTCCAGCTCCCTCTATTACCTGGCTGGAGCAGGGGTACCTGCTGTGGCTCGTAGGTGTGGAGCTCTGCCTCACTGTGGGTTCTCAGGAAAACCAATGAAAGAGAAGTAATAGAGTGAGGCTGCAGGCACTCACTCCTTGTTCTGACACAGTATGGCAACCAGGTTCCTCTGTGTACTTGGTTGTTAGGGGGTGCTGCATAGTCATATTCTGGACCACCTGAGGCTTCCAGGATAGCTCAGCAAGCGTTTCAGGATGGGAAGTCTCAGTCCAAATGGATGGCAAACCCCCTGCCCTGCATCTAGGACAACCGGTGTTTACTTAATAATCTGGGTTTATAGGGTTTCAAAGAATTCTTCTTTAAATAATGATTTTCTCCACCTTCCTTGTCTGGAGCAATTCCAGTGGCCTGATCCTGAGTTAGGCCCATGGTGTCAAGGTGGATAAGGCCCCAGTCAGAAAAGCCACCCTTCACATAGTGATGGGATCCTTGGACGAGGCAGGGTCATTTTCAGTTCTGAAGTTTGCCTGCTGCCTGGAGTGCCCAAAAACACAGATCATTAAGCATGAGGAAGACAGTGGTGCCAAGTACATTTTGGGCTAAGCCTGTCGAGTGTCTTAACAACAAGGAAGCAAATATTAAAGGAAACACTGCAAGCTGGGAAAGACTTCGAGCTCTAAATGTCCGCAAACCATTTGTAGACAGGTAGAGCCTTCATATCACCATGGATTTCTCTCCTCAGTGCTTGTTAGGAAGTGTGAAAGGCTCTGTTGACCCTGTTGAGATAACCGTCCTGTTTGGGAAAGAAGCTGAGGGGATTGTTTGTTTGTTTGTTTGTTTGTTTGTTTGTTTGTTAAGCTTCCAGGACTCTTTTTGCTATGTCACGCCACAGGAACTTCCCGTACAAGTCAAAGTCTCATCTTAGCCTTTCTCAGTGGCTTATCATCACCACTATCTTTGCTACCAGCTCACTAAGCAAAATGAACATTGGCCTTTGATCTTTAGAAACTCATCCATTCCTTCCAGAAACGTTTATAAAGAATTTACTATGTGCAAGGAACCCTGGAGATAACAAAGATGAATGAGAAACTATGTCTAGATACATATACCCATCATTTCAAAATCCATATCGAAAGTACTTGTCTTGAGATCTGGGCCACAGCTAAGAAAATACTTAGGGCAGGAGATCTGGCCGGCTCAAGAACTCTTTAAAGGAGGACGGTGCCCAGGCTTTTCCTGTGCTCTTGGATTCCTGGTGTCTAACTTCAAAACTGAACCTTTCCCTCCCAGATTGCGTTTTAGCTTACCCAAGGAATGCTGGGTTTTAGTTACAATATCTAAAAAAACAAAAACATTGAGATAGATGTAGAATCTGCCACGTGACTATCAAAACTGACCTCAAAGATATTCCTTACTCCATTATTTAATTCCCCCAAAGAAGCAGTGCACGTTTTATGAGAATACAGATGATAAATTCCTATGAATAAATTAGTGCACAGAAGTTTTCCTCTTTGGAAGACGTTATGGTGTGCTTTCTTGTGAAATGCAAAAAAGAAATAGGCAATCCATTTTGCACCCCCCCCCCAACCACCACCACTGTTTTTGCTTTGGCTGCCAGTAAGTTCAGAGTTAAATTTAAAGCTCAACTGCACTTCCTGAGTTTTTTTCTATTATATAATCCTGTATATAAAAGATGAGGTATGTAAAAGGATGTTCATTGTGAAATTGTTTTTAATAGCCAAAGATTGGAAATAACCTAAATTCCATTAAGGAACGATTGGTTAGATATATTATAGTACATCCAGTAATGAAACATTCTGCAGCCCTGAAAGAAATAAGGCAGTTTTGTGTGTGCTCTCCAGAGGTACCAAGTGAAAAAAAGCAATGTGTGGAACATGCACAACTGTGCATGTGTGTATGTGTGTGCTGTTTATGTATGCATAAAATAATACATAGAATCCTAGACTATCGCTGGAAGAATATCTATGAAACTGGTTAGAATGGTGGCTTCTGGTGACGTGAACTGGGTAGCTGATGGACAGGGCAGAGGAAGACTATCTTTCTACCATGTGCCTTTTGTCCCTTTTTAATTTTGTCCCATGAGTATATTTTACCTATTCAGGAAATTTCAGAAACATTAAAAAATTTTTAAATATAATTCAATGCCCATTCATAGGAAACATTCTGTTGAAGCGTCATGGAGTTATTATTAGCTCTCTTTTTACTCTAAATGGAATTAATTTCAATTCCTGAAGGGCTTTGAGAAGTCTTTGTCTCCCCTGAAATCGTATGCCAATTTCTCCACGTTCATTGTTCAGGGTAGAAAGAGCCATGGCTTTCATTAGATTGTTAAAGGTAATGATGATGATTAGGAGCCAGTACCCTGTTTTCCCTTCTTCTTCTCCTCCTCTCCCCTCCCCTTTCTTCAGTGCTAGCAATTTTACATGGTCCGAAAGCAAAGCAGTAAAGCACCTTGGTTCTTTTCTCTATGAATCGCAACCCCTCCCAACCCATCAAAACAGTATGAAAGGTAGTTATTGAGTGCCAGATGGCTTCTAATCCA